AGGGGAAGGTGCTAACGTTTGGATTGTGGGCCACGTGTTCGGGGGAGTTGCAGAATCAGTGAAGTTCTACTTCAGCCAGCACGGACAACCTGTTGTTGTTTCAGGCTGGGCGCAGGTTAGTGGACCATGCGCGCAAACCGGCATAGTGTGAATCGAGGTCCACATGCCTTTTAATAATGGCTAGGCTCGAGTGCCAAGCTTCGAGGAATTCTCTCGCTTGTCTTGTCCTCTTTACCTGACGTCTCTAGAAGAACTTGGCTCTGATCACTTAAATGAATTCAAGTTTTCTCACATAGAACCTGCGGTTATGAATGGCAACTCCATGGCCTTTTCCAAGCTTACGTAGGTTTATGAGTATCACCTTTGTGCTGAAGAAGACTAATCCATGTAGTCAGATTGAAAAATCACGAATGGATGTTGGACAGGTGTGCACCAAATAGTTTCACTTTCCAGATCAAGCAGTCTCCGATATCCGAGGCAACGCTATCTAGGCGGGACAGGGAATGTCGGTTTGACAGTCACGAAGGACGCTCTATATCATGTTGCCCACGCCATGTTGGTTGCAGGACGGCGACTTGCGCGTGAATTATCGATTTCCGACTCGCGCGAATTAGCCGCACTCTCTACTTCATCTTCCACCTGGGCTTGATGATAAGAATGAGTCAGGGGGACCGAAGCCGGGATTGGATGCTTTAGCTAGCAGAGGTCATCAGCCTGTCCATGCATGCCTCACAAAACACACTGGCTTTTCAAAAAGGTGAAAGGGGCTCCGAGTTCATATGCGTGAGGAGGCTATAGAGGCCACATTACCAAAGAGGTCTTACAGTCAGAGTTTCCGTCCTGAGAGGACAGAATTATCCCTTGAGTTAACAGCATTCCAAGCCACAAACGTTTGCGTATCCAGAAAGGTTGAAAGGGCACTTGATTATTTATAGCGAGGAATGCGCTGAAGGATAACGCACCAACCCGGACCACTGTTGTTTTTCCGATCGGTCTGATTTTCGAAAACCCGCTCCGACGCACCCATACTGTACACTTGTAGCGACGTGTAGTGGCCCAAGTCCGCGCAGACCTTCACGTGATGTAAAGCCTCGACCTCACTTTTGGGCAGCCATTGCGGACGCTCTGTGCTGCTGGGTTGCGCACATGCCTCTGCCTGTCCACGCGGTCTGGCCAATCACATGTCAAGACCGACTCACATAAAGGCCACTCTAGACGATTCATCTCACCTCAGACGCGCACCTGTGGCGTGCGGCTGCTCGCTCGTCCAATAGTTAATTTTCCTTCCTTCTCTATAGAATAAACCCCTCCTTCAAATCTGGGCTCCCATGACTTCTTTTCTCCTAAGTAACCAGGCGTTAAGTTACTAGGATTGAACTCAACCCCCTGCGATAGACGTACCGATAAGTTCCATTCCGTCTAGCTCCATACCATTCTCTATACCGTTTTGTATTACACCCACATCGTTTTCGTATTTTTCCTACCCTGCTTAATAAACTCTTAGTATATCCTCAGCCACTCGACTTCTACAATGTCTCATGAACCTAAGCCTCTTAAGGCTGCGAGAAATGACTTGCTTCGCCTTTTAAACCAGGCTGCTATCTCCTTCTCTCTCTCTCATCATGAACAAAGCTCTAATACCGGTCATTAATTTGAGCATGACTTATCTGCCACCCACCCGCTCGAAGGCTACGGAGATGCCGTGTGAACGCAATCCCAGAGTCGATCTCACTCCTTCATCCCTCTTCCATTCACCAGTTCCTTTTCCACCTCGATCAGTTGACAGACCCATCAGCTTTCAGGTTTCGTGCTTAAATGCATTCCAAGGTCGCCAAACACAGGCCTCCACCGACGCCGTCTTTCGAAAACCACCCTCAGTGGATAAAAATTCACAATATTTTTAAGAACTTTTCTAATATGCGAGTGCAGACATTTGTTAAGAATACCGCAGTAGCTGACCTTAAAATAGTGCACTACTACTGAGCGGCACTTGAGTTCAAAATCGGAGTGCGATATTAAATTAAAAGTGCCCAATTTAAAAGTCCTAAAAAAGTTTCGTGCTTACGAAAGCATCAAACTTACCGGAAGATTGTAGATATTGTTGCCCGCCATTGTCAATACCCTCAAACAATGAATGTTCTGGAGTTCCCCCTTTACTGAGTGCAGTTGGTTTCGGTCAACACGCAGCTCCACCAAGTGATCACAGTGCCACAGAGCTTTATTCAGAGAATTAATAAGGTTATCCTGAAGGTTCAGACGTTGCAGGCAGGGCAATGCGCCAAGGATTCCGCGATCGGGCAGGACCTTTAGTCCGGCTCCCGCAAAGTTTAGTTCCGTGAGGTTGCACAACAGACCAATATTACGTGGTCTCCATTTATGCCACTCAGCATACCACTTTTCAACGCCATCAATCAGGACCCGTATGGCCTTCTTTTGCTCGGTGCTAACTTGCATCGCGACAGCTCGCAACGCCGCGAGTTGACGTTCTCGCGAGGCTTTTTGTCCCGTGGTTGTTATGGTGACAGCCAATAAACAAGCGCAGTCGGATCCAATAGGATGGCGATAAACAGCAGAGCTTCCAGCATGGATAAATCAGAAAACGTGTTACTGTATGTGACAAAGGGCTAAAAAATCCGTAATCCCTTAAGTACGCTTTATAATCAAAGCACGTGGTGATTTGTCTTTTGCAAAAGTCTAATTTACTTGAAGGTATGAAGTGTGACTTGATATCACAAAATCCGCTTAAAATGCATACAACGCTCCGAAGTAAATAAATCCACTGTTGAAACTGAAGTATAAACTTAAAAAAACGCAAAATTCATACGTGTATAAATTTTAATGGATGCTTTCGGGGTTTTCATTCAATAATTGCTTGAATATGTGCAAACGCTTCAACGTTCTTTCGAGTTTGGACTTCAGTAATTTGTCTAACACATGTATTACGAGCCGCTTGACTATGTGCCGAATATTTTAGATGACTTTTGATTTGAGAATTTTCCCGACAAATTACACAAGACCTTACGCTAAAGGGTTACTTCATGTAGTGGCTATGAAGACAGTCAGATTCCACTCAAAATTGAACACCTCATGAAGCTGTTCGACGTTGGCCAAAAAATACTTTGCCTACGCTGGGGAAGCTTATGAACAGATCGAAGGAACTCCGATGATATCCTGGACCTCCGATTTATTGGCAGAACTAGTCCTACAGTAGCCGGAAACCACTGCCTCCCCCAAAAATAAGCCTGTATTTTGGTGCCGTTGCGTTGATGTCAAGAAAAACATGTTGCGTAATGGAATCTTTCCTGAAAAATAATTAACGAGAAAGCACCAGTTACCTTTGCTAGATGTCCTCGTCAAACGAAAACTCGATGGTGCAATTAAGACGACAATTTCAGGAAGGCAACTACCACCAACTAACTGATCAGCTGCCATAGGAACCATCTGGTAACTCACAACCGAAGGTATGCGAGAAGGCTCTTCAGACGGATTCAAACGCGTTTTAGCGGGCCGGAGGAAATAGTACGCGAGGCCCAAGATCCCCACGGCAAGTTTATGCGGAATGGCTATTCGAAGGCCTTTATAAACCGATGTTTGCCCGTCCGGTATCAGAAGAGCTAAACAGAACCATCACCGAGGATATGACACACCATGCCATGTGTCGGGGGCGTCTCAGAAGTGACTGAGCGCATCGTTGCGGGACTAGGTGTTGGAATTGCACAACAACTTAAAGCTACCATACGCAGCGGAATGATAAAAATCAAAGGGCTATCTGAGGTGGTGTATCGTATCCCATGCCGAATCTGTTCTTGTAATTACACAGGTGAATCTGAACGCATACACGAACATAAGCTGGCGGGACGAGGAAGATTTTCTTCATTTAGTTGAACCAATTGGTAAAAAACTCGCGGCATCCGGTGGGATTTGAACCTGCATATTAGGGAAGGCCTTTATGCGAAGCCAATGCTCTACCCTTTTAGCTGTAAATTCCACGCCTAGCACCGTGAGTTTAATCACACTTGGATCGATTTTACCCGCCCAACTTAATGCTGGTATATAATCCACCAATACGGAACAGCAAACTGACTGCCCAAGCAGGATTTCATAAGCAATCATCTAGAATCCACCAGAATG